TGCATGCTTTGCTCCTTTTGCTGTTGTGGTAAATGCCGAAATGCTGAAGAAGTTTGTACAGTGTTGAAGGTCATGCATCATTAGCATGACACTTTTCCACAAGCCTGTGAATTAAAAAATAGTTATTAAAGTTAATTAACATTGAATAAACAACTGTTGACATCTTCACATAAATGAAATACACTAATTACATTAATACAAAACGATGAAACAAACCTAAAAATCCAAATGTATCATCAGCTTTCAAGATAACAACATCATCATAGCTGTGTTTCTGAGAAACAGAGCTTCTCCTAATGGATGTTTGAGCTGTTTGAACCCAGAGACCGGGGAATCTGTGGAGGGTAGTGAGGCCGTTTATGGGGGTTAGGCTGCAGGCCAGAGGAGACAGTTTGTGTGTCTGTGTGTGCGTTAAAGAGAGGCCAAACAGGGCATGCAAACACACGGGCTGAGAGGAGGGTTGGGTGGCAGATGTGCGGTCCACTGCTGAAGGAGAAAAAAAACTGTTGAAACTTTGGGTCTTGATCCAATCTGCTCTGCTGTGGTGCGCCTGAACTGAATGACTTGAGCTCAGATAGGTGGGGTCATCCAAAAAGGGCGGGCTTCCTTTTAACCTCTCAGATGCAACATGCTTTCCTTGTTGCGTAGCCCTAATTTTCTCTGCCCTGATCATTAGAAAATGATTCATTATTTTTAAATTACCTCCATAAATCAAAGTATCAACAAGCTTTAATCTCACAGTTTTTGTACTGGAATGAGACAGACGTACTCAGCATTTTATGTTAAAGGTATAGTATACCCAAAAATGAAAATACTGGCATAATTTACCCATTCTTTTCAAACCTTTATGAGTTTTTTTTATTCTGTTGAACACAGAAGAAGATATTCTAAAGAAAGAACCATAATTCTATGGTTACAGTTTTTTAGTCTCAAAATGTCTTCTTTTGTGTTCAACAGAATAAAAAAACTTTAAATTTGGACACTTGGGGTGAGGAAATAGTGAATAAATTTTAATTTTGGGTAAACTGTCCCTATAAGTTACATGATTAGAGGTAGTGACGTTAGTTAAGACTGTTAGAGCAAACAGCTCGTCTCCACACCCACGACTTCCACAGAGCGATGGAAACATTTAAACAATATTCACACCAGTCTGTTTTGAATATGCAACATGGTGCAAGAAGAGAGAAATGCATGACTCTCAAAACCAGTTCCTAGAAAGCCAAACAACTGTAGCCAGGGGGGAATTCGGGTGGTTTGTAAGACCCACCCCTCACTGACAACGGTCCAGAATATGTCCCATGCATAAACTCATTTGTCCTATCTTGACTGCTATGCCATCATGGTAAAAAAAAAAAAAACTATTGAAAAAGGCTTCAAAACAAAGCAGAATCTTCTGTTGGCTGTTGCTTTGATGTGACTTCAGCCAATCTGTTTTGGCCAATGCTAACAAATATTCTTCATTAGTCCAACATCCAGCTGTGCAGGGAAACATACGGTTGAATGTAGAAGTCATCTTTTGCTACTGTATTGTTGTCCTCATTTGTAAGTCGCTTTGGATAAAAGCGTCTGCTAAATGACTAAATGTAAATGTAAAATATTTTACAAGTAACTTTTATTTTAAATCTTGAACCTTATTCTTGAAAAAAGACCAATAAAAAGGTGTGAAGCACTAAGTGGCCCATATTAAAATTTATTTGAATACTATTTTGGCTAAAATAGTCATTGGTGTGGTTATGATGACCATTCGACAAGCTACTTCAGAATAGATAATGTCACTAAAATGCAGTATTTAAATTTCATAATTAAGTAGAAAATGAGGTATATAATTGTAAAATGGTCCACTTTTTGAGAATAAATAACCACAATTTTGAGCAGGCTGTGGGCCACCAGAAAATAAGTAGCTTTCAATCCTGGTAGGCTACTGGAAACTCACTCTGCACATTTTGTCTTTTATCTGACTCAGAAAAACCAGCTCATGGAGCTCTCTACAAATAAGCTGATGAACTAAATCAGTTGTTTTTAATAAGGGTGACATAATATGTGCAAGTTTAAAAAAACAACCTTCTTTTCTACTATGTTCATGAACTAAAGCCTTATTACTCTTTTACAGTAAAGAATCTGAAAGTTTAGGCTAACTGCTAGATCGAGGCCTACAGGTAACAGCGCCCCAAAACAGAAGTGATAATCCGTCATAAACTACTTCTTTGAATCTTACATGTCGAACAAATAAATACAGAAACTGAAGCAGAAGTGGCGCTCGTCAAACAATAGAAGTAGTTAAAAACGTCGGTGGGGGACGACGTTGAGAGTAAGATAAACCGCTAAAGATAAGACAGTCAGCTGTTAATCAAACAACGTGTAGACTTTTCTGTCTATTTGTACAAAAGCTGGTCTCCGCTAGTCAAGGTTAAACGTCGCTGGTGCAGCGCGCATTTCCCCACGAGTGTTTTCCGTTTGGCACATGTAGTGTGTGAGCAGCTCAAAAATAGCGCTGTCTGTTTGGGAGAGCCCAAATCAAACAGAAAACATGCCAGGAAAACGACCTCTCTACACGTGACAAGCGAAAACAACGCCGAAAGGCATGCTGGGTGGCTAATTTTACTGGGAACAAGAGTTTCTGTTTTTTGCGCGTCAAGCCTTTTCTCGCAGTAAGCATGTGAACTGTGGTGTGTTTACATGCACACACATATATTCAGTCAGCTCAGCTGATTTGGTTGGGAAACAAAGCCAGAGAAACACCCATGACACCACACAGGCTTTCTGTCCTGGTTTCTCACTCTGCTCAGCCCCCCTGGATGCATCCTTCTCAAATTTCTTACTCCATCAATCCTGTCCTGTTCCCATGTGTTTTTCTCTCTGGATCATTCATGATAGATTTCCAGGCTAAAGAGCATCCAGTTTCCTCTTTCAGAGATTTCTGCAGGTTTTACCAAGTTAAATTTGAGACTTAAGACATTTTAAGAACATTATAAATGAAATTTTTTCAAATATCAAAGTTTAGAAAAGATTTTCATTAGGCTTATCAAAATGATTCAAATTTATTAAATTTAATAATGCAATAATAATACATTTGTTTGAATATTTCTTTATTCATTTTTAAATATTTCCATTCACAAATCCGATCACCCTTACCAAGAATAGAACAAAACATAGCTGCACTTCAGTCTTCAATAATAATTTAATAATAAAAATATATAGGTCAGGTCGGTATCCTCAGCAGTAAATAAACAGAGAACTTAAGCAAATGCCACTGTAAGTAATTAAATGCTATTTTATCGGTGTTATTGAAATGGGATGTTGGTGATTGTATGGGTGTTAATGGCCAGATTGGTTACAATACATGAACAAAGGAGAATGAAGACCTGTTTAAAAAGATGTAAGACCTATAACACAACATTTCAGTAGATTTAAGACTTTTTAAGGTTTTTAGGACCACACAGATATCTTGCTCTTTAGTCAACCAGCTTGTACACTTCAGTCAGGTTTGAACAAGTGTTAAAGGTAACTTTTTTGGCTTTTCAATATGTTATTAAAATTGGTCAATCAAGTATGCAAATTTGATCATTTAATCACTCCCATTTGAAATGCAGCTTTATGACTTCAGCTGAAGATGATTAAACACTTTGGAAGAAAACTGGAATATTCTAATAATAAAGGAGCTTAACAGAAATCCTTTTGATAATAATAAACAGTTTCATATGGTACTAAGTGAAGTTTATTTATAAACTAATTTTGAGAGGATCACATGCTTATGATTGCTTGCAGCCGGTCCGCATTATTCAATTTACGATTTACCAATCAGACACTAATTAATAATAATAATAATAATAATAATTCCTTACATTTATATAGCGCTTTTCTGGGCACTCAAAGCGCTTTACACAATGGGGGGGGGGGGGGGGGTCTCCTCATCCACCACCAGTGTGCAGCATCCACCTGGATGACGCGCAGCAGCCATTTTGCGCCAGACTGCACACCACACACCAGCTGATTGGTGGAGAGGAGACAGATGAAACCAAATGGAATATGGGGATGGTTAGGAGGCCATGATGGACAGAGGCCAGTGGGCAGATTTGGGCAGGATGCCAGGGTTAAACCCCTACTCTTTTTCGAAGGACATCCTGGGATTTTTAACAACCACTGAGAGTTGGGACCTCCGTTTAACGTCTCATCCGAAAGAACGATTCCTAAACCACTATAAACACTCTAAGTTCCATATGACAGCCATCTTCATTTTGAAGAATTCCACCTTCCACTGTTTCAAGATGGGTGGCACGGTGGCCCAGTGGTTAGCACTGTTGCCTCACAGCAAAAACGTCATTGGTTCTAGTCCTGACTAAGCCAGCCGACATTTCTGTGCAGAGTTTACATGTTCTCCCCATGCTCACATGGGTTTCGCCCAGGTTCCCCAGTTTCCTCCCACCGTATAAAAACATGCAACTTAAGTTAATTAACTAATCCATATCGGCACCATAGATATGCACCAGGTAGTTATCTCTTAAGAGCAATCACTATCTGTTCATTAGCTACTACAGCAGGGGAGTTCTCGAGATCTACCTGACCTAAAACTCCCCTCTCTCCTTGCAAACGGGAGGGAGCCCCAGGCTCGAAGATCTTATGAGCTCAGGGCTCTCTCCCCGGACAGGATGCCAAACAAGCTTTATAATCAATCGTCAGCTAAGTGTAAACTCTTGGAAGGTCATATACAACATCTACATTATAAACAAAAATCAACAGCATTAAAAATTTTTTTGGCAAGATTTGAAAATACATATTGAAGGAGCTGCAAATTAATCCACAGGGCAGCATTTGTTAAAATCATACGTCTTTTTATGACCCTTATTTGTTTTATTGTTAAGAAGTTGCCTTAACATTAAATTTGCACAATAAAAGGGTCTGTATTGCTTTAAATGAATTCATTTCTTTTTAGCTGAAAAAAAAGAATTGACAAATCTTTGGCTTCAGGTGCATAAAAATTCCTTTAACATAAAGGATGTTTCAGAAACTTTACCTCAAGATTAAGTCAATACATTTCTTAACTGATCAAATATGCAAAACAGCAAGAAAAAATATATATTACTATATATAAACTGCTATATATTTGAAGCATTTAGCAAGAAGTAGTCATTTAGACTCAGGGTTAAAGGACTACTCAATGCCTAAAGTATACTTCTATCTTTACACATTTTTAAAAAAAAGTTCATACAAACACGTCATTCAAATCTTTGCAAAGAAAGTAAACGTGATCGCTTTGAGCACCAGTATTTGCACACACTATCAAATGGAGTGCACTTTAGTTTGGAAGACAGTGTTCAACTGTCTTTATGCTGATATACATGTAAAAAACAACTATACTATGGGCTCAAATGTGTTATGCTGATGACAATGTGGCAGAAAAGTGGAATTAAAGTACAAAGCAGTTACGTGCAAGTCACAGTACGACTAAATATAGGCTACATTCTCCTACAAGACACATTTGTTAGACTAACGGGAGTTAAACCACTTACATCCGTTCACTCTGATCTATTAAAGCAAATGCCGCAGAAAATAAATCACAATAGGATATAGTTAAAAGAGTAAATAAAGTAAAAAGACTGCTCATATACAAAACTACTTCAGCCTTTCAGCAGAATTAGTTTTGCTACGCATTTTGCTCAAACATTAGACAAAATGTTTGAGAATTGCAGGACAAAAGAATCCATCAGCACTCAATTGTAAGGTTCATTACTCCCCCTGTTGGTTCATTTGTGGAGCTACAACCAATGTAAGTGTTGCATTTCTTTAATCAAAACAACACCATGCATACAAGGCAAACCTGTCTTTTTTTATAAGGCAACAGATACTGTTAATTCCCAAACTCACAGAACTAAACTCTGCAAGACACTACTGAAAATGACAAGGCATCACTATGAAAGTCTGACCAGTCTTCCTGCTGTTGAGAGGAGAAGAAAAGGAATCTGGGAAGCTGGTATGCTGAATTCAGTCTGTGTTTGTGATATTCTCTCCACCAGCATGAGTTACAAAATTGGACCTTTTTTCTTTTTCAGATGAGAAGAAGTCAATCGACTGTCGAGCCGATAATTTTTCTTTAAGAAGCGTCGCTCAACGTTGAGGACCTCTTCGTACACGTCAGACTGAAGGACACCCAGAATGAACGAGAAGAGATCAAGCACCCACACGAACATCCGAGGTAAACTGGGCTCAAATTTTGAGAAATGACTAACACATTTACTGTAAAAAGAGAAAAGGGAGATTAAATCAATATACTAGCGAGCAAACATACAAAGTATACAGGACTATATTTTCAAGAAATTAAGTTCTGAGTTAAATCTGAGTAATAATAAGTTCATAAAAATTGAGAGATAGGAGAATGAAAAAAAGGGCAAGTAATATGGCTTGAAATTACATTCAGAAATGATGTAAAATAGGCTGACAGTCCTGAAAAAGAATATATGAAGCTTTTACAAATATTATAAACATGTATTTATTTGACTGCATTCAGAATAGGGCTGTGCGATATGGCCAAAAGAAACCAGTCAAGATTTTCTTGAACAATATTGCAATTTTGATAATCTTGATTTTGTCATAGACAGACTGAATCTGTCAGTATAAATCTGAAGCATCTTTCAAAAGAAAAAAACATTAGATCTTTATCAAAGACCTCTAACATGTCTCTAAAACAGACATAATATAAAATCAAAAAAACCAAGTAAAGCTCTAACAAATTGTCTCTAGAACAGACCTATGACAAAACAAAACAAAATATGCATGTATGTGTTTGTGTGAGCACATGCACAGTCAAACTCAAGTAAGGCTCCGATGTTCTGCTTGATCAAATATCAGAAGTAGTTGTGTGTGTGTTCACAGATTTGTTTTGTCATGCATAGATCATAGACCTCTTTGGGACAATGCTGTGAAATCGGTCGTTTACATATCGCGCACAAGTCCATTACTCCCAATGGATTGAGTGCACATATTGAGAGCGGCACACGCGTGTATTCCAGGTGCACCCAGCTAAAAAAACTCTCTTTTTAGACAAACTTTAAACTGAACTTTTCAGAATGTTGCACGGCGAGTCAAGTAACAAGAACTGACTGATCACCTTTATACTTTGTATGGAATATACACATTTCGGATACCTCAGACTAGAGCTGGGTGATATGGCAAAAAAAATTATCACGATAATTTTTTTCATATCAGTCGATATCGATATTTATCACATTTGTTTTTCACATTTTAGTACAGTCAGGATACCCGAGTAAACAACAACAACAATTAAATAAATACCTTCAATATAGACCAGTCAGAAAAAACTATTTTCTTTAGTGCAGCCATCTTAACTAAGTAAAATAAAATAAAATAAAGAACTGCAGTGTAGACTAGTGAAAGATAAACAGGCTTGTCCTCTCTAAGGACATTTGGAATATTTAATTAAGTTTTAAGTTCTTCTTCAAAAACACCGTAATGTCCACATTCTCAGGTGAGAAGCTTGATCTCTGTGCAGACACAGACATAGTGATGCTCATTTTTGATTAAGTTTTCATTTAGATAGATAGGTTTCCGTTTAAATTAATGAAAAAATACACATATACTGTGTTTCTAAAGTGTTTTTAAATGACATATTCACCAGTAAAATACACTGCAGTTTTGTCTGAACCTAATGGTAAGGGTGTAGCCTTAAAGGTTGTATTTTTGCCTCCCGTTAGTGATCCGTAAATGGCGGTTATATCTGCGGCGCTGTGGATAAACCACGGGTCGGGTAATAAAAAAATACATTATAATTAGCTAACTGCAGGTGGGTTGCGGGTGTATAGCGGGACATGGCAGTGGATCAGCAAAAAGCAGAGAGTGGGCTTTGTAGAATGAGAAGATATGAGACGCCCAATAATGAAGGTAGTGCAAGAGTAGCCTACTGTTAAAAGTTTCAGTTAGAGGAGTTAGAGGAAAATCTTCCATCATCCTGTTAGAAACAAGATAGCTTTGATCTCGTTTTTCGTGTATTTTTCCAACATGATTATGATTTTCGTTGTTTTTGCTTAACTTTCGTTTGGGTAAAATTATTTTGCATTACTTTTGCCCACTTTGAGAAATTTTGTGAGTTTTGTTCATTTGTATTTAGATTGATTTGTATGTTATTTTTTTGGCTCAGCTCTTTCCCGACAATATTGAGCTAGCCTATATCTCCTCAAGTTCACTCTTTTCTCAGAGTAAGGTGGATAGGGAAGATGTCGTACGACTTCCATCACGTAGAAAATGTATTGTTAAAGACATCAGGTGAACGTCATCTTTATATTTATTTTATAGGGAAGAATGCAGCGCACTGCCCTGAAGGACTTTTCTTTCTTTGCATCAGTTTTTAGCGAGGTAAGAGATTATTCATGAATTAGAATTGTTTTGTTATATTTCTTTCTTTTGTTTGGCTTCACTATCATCCCCTTACTCAAGTTTAACTAATTTTTGTTAGATACTTTGTTTGAATTTGCTACTTTATTATATTATTTTTATTAGTGTAAATGTTGTAGTGTAAATATCCTTAATGCAGCCTGTAGAGCAAGCTTCAAGTAGTCATTGAGATGTAATTGAGATAGTTTTGTCTGTCATATCTTTCGTCTGTCTTTTTGGGGGGGTTTTCTAGTAAGGCACGACTTTCGAAAATGATGACATGAGACTCTGCAGGGTAGTTGCCCTGGTTTACCAGCAGTTGTTTAGGTCTGTAATTTCTTAGCATCTTCATAAGGGTGGTGTTGTTTTAAATGATGAAACAGGCTTATAGAGTTGCCTGCTTTCGATGACACAAGTCATCTTGCGCAGTTTGCAGTGCACGTTGCTGTTTGTCGGATAGCAAAAAACTAAGTAGCTCAAGACTGAGGTCTAGTGACGTTTCTTGTCAACAATGTCTGTGACTCTGACCTTTTTACCTTATTTTCTTACTCCTTTAAGTACAACTATGGCTGTAAACTTGTAAGGCGTGCGGCATCCGGAAGGGCAGGCTGCAAAATGCTTGCGCATTGTTACGCATAGTGCGTAAATATTATCAAGCAATTATCGAAATGTCATTATCGTTTTATCGAAATTTTTTTATATCGTGATAATTATCGATATCGAATTATCGCCCAGATCTACCTCAGACAAACACAAGACACCTGAACACCAAGTGCTTTTTAATTCTCTCCATACATAAAACTTGTATTGGAACGGCAGCAATCTTTGTTAGTTTGTTATTCTCTGGGAAAATGGTTGATGGTCACCAAGCAATGACAAAGGAGCGACCACAAAGCATGTTGAAAATACTGAAGGAAGTGACGCACTCACTCTTCCCACACCCTTTTAGACGCAATATATGACGGACTTACAAATTACTTGGTTCTGCCATACATCAGCCTTCCTGTATCCAAAATAACTTAATCCCACACCATAGATGTTGACTTTTTTTGGCACTAAGTCCTCCTGTGCTGAGATCATCATTGCTGTATACGCAGGCTATTCAGTCTCCTGTTCTTGCGGTCTGTTTAGGCACGCTACGTTGTGATTAGTTTAAAGATCATACTGCAGGAAAATCATGCTATAAGGCGATTTAGAAATTGTTCATGTTCACAAATTATGATTCTGATATGATTTTAATTAATCGCACAGCCCTAATTCAGAACAGAAAAGGAAAAATATTGAACTATCAATATCTATAAAATATTGAACTATAAAACATACAGTCAAGTGCAAAATTAATCAAACCCCATGGCAAAGTCTGACTAAGTTTTTGTTCAAATGTAAATAAAAGCTGAGAAATAGCTTATCCCACAATAATGCCTCGTGCACATCTTGATTTATTTTGGGAGAAGCCTGTATCATTTCCAATCCAAACAACTTGCTGGTTGAATAAGAGTTTTCACACCTGCCTTATTTAGTTTGTTTGAATCGCACTAGAGTTTGTTTTCTCTCTTGGTGTGGTTCATTTGGGCAGGTGTGAATGTAACAATTGCACTGCAGTGTGCACCAAAAGTGAACCAAAAAAGCTAATCAAGACCTCCTTGTAGAGGTGATCTCAGTACACTTTCAAACGAATCCTGGAGAGGTTAGTTTTTGGTGAGAACATAATCCGAACTAAAACAGACCCAACCACAAAAAGTACTGGCCTTTTTTTACTAATCCAGCTGCCGCAGTCCGATGCTCTGCCTAATCTTGTGGGGTGTGGAGGAAAAATATTTGTTGACATTTCTTTACCATCGATTTTAAAGAGAGAGAGAGTGAGAGAGGGAAAAAAACATTAGCTGATGGATCGTTGGAAATATTTCTGGAAGATGACCATGTCGCAGTTTAGCTAATTTAATTCACACCTCCTCCTGAAGTGACTTGCGATGCGCCTTTGCCGTTTGCAATGCATTAAAACATTGTCACAGCTGTAGCCACACTTCATTCTCGAAATGTATAGTTTGTCTAAAGTGATGTATACAAACTACATAGTATACATTAACCAGAAATACAATCAGCCAGTGCAGTCGTGCTTGTGTCTGCCAGTTTGTTTGCTTGAGGGAGTTCCATTGGCATTTTTCTGCATGTTAATTCTGACCAATCGAAAAGCAGTTTAAGAAAACACATTTAATAACATCTGGCCAATGAGTGATGTGGATTTCGTCACTTGACTGCATTTTAAATCTTTTTAACAGGTTTGGACTAAAGAAATCAGTGTGGTGTGAAAACGATCCAAAAACAGCAGAAAAATGCTTCAATGTATCATTTGTTGCCCTTGGTCCAGATCAAGTGAACGAACCACAGATGTGAAAGCACCCAAAAAGAAACTTCAAGTCAGAATTTTTCAGGAGTATGAATAATTTCCGACTTGACTGTATATTGTGACATACACTATGATCATTTATTATAGTAATCAAGCCTTAAAGCACATTAAGCAAAACTGAAACTAGTGACTTGTAGGTAATGTGCATTACAAATTCACCTCTGTTGCTTGGATGATGTTAAATGCGTTGTATACTTTTGGATACAAGTTTTACAAAAATGAGAAAAAGCATCTGTGTTTACTTACTTCTCCGGGCATATCCTCAGTTCAGGATGCCAGTATCTTTGGTTGGCCAGGCCATTGACCGCTTTTGCCTTAACAGTACAGTCCAAATTCTGGTTAAACATACTGGGTCCATCTGAACCCTCCTCCTCTCCCCAGCTGAAGCGGAAGCTGGTGTGAGAGTTTGTCGTGGACGTGGACTGTTCTGGTGCAGGATCTGCAAACTTCTGAAATCTCTGCTGCAAATGATCAGTCACACCTGGAGATGATATAAAGGTGGACAGCATTTGATCAGATAAAAACACACTAAAGGACTGAGGATAAATTCACTGAGATGTGTTCTAATCAGCTTACGTCTCTTTTTGAGAACTAGGGACTTGCGCTTCAGATTTGTGATGAAAGGGTTAGCAAAATTCCACTGCCGTCTGAAAGAGCAGAGAAGAGCAGAAGTGTTTGCAGTGAATGAGCTGTCAATAAAGTCACAGAGATTACTGGGATGATTGTGTTTTACCGAGCTTCTTCTTGTTCCTCCTTGAGTCTGGCTTGCTCTAAAACAGGCTGTACGATGTTAAACCATCTTTCTAAACTGAAGACTGATAAGCATGCGAGAACACGTTACCAATATGATATGATATGCAAAAATAAATATCTAGTGAAATGGTTTTACCTTTATTATTCTTCTTCTTGGCTGCATCATGAGATAATTTCCTTGAGACAATAATGAAAAGAATAAACAGTTAGATAACGCATACAACTTTTTTTTTTTAGAAAAAAAAATCTGAAATCCTAAATTATTGTAACATTTTATTTGCCTGAAAAATTTGTTCTAATTAAATAAAAAAAAAAACTGCCAGATTAACTCAGACTTTTATTATTTTGAAATAATTAAAAAACAAATAACTTTAACACCTAATGGCATAACAAAATAACTGATAGAAAATTGGTCAGGTCAAATCTTCTTAATACTGTGATTTACATCTGATTGCCTCAAGACTATAGGATATCCTCCGCACTATGCACTTGAACACATAAAAGTGATGATCACCTCTTTCATTGAATTTTGAGTGTTTTAATCAACCTGTGGTGTTCCCGGTCAAAAGTGACCACCATATGAAAATGACTGGGTGTTCAGACTATATTCACCCATCAGACGGTACAAATTTATACCAATGTTTGGGTCTAGAAGGAGCACTTTTAGCTTAGCATCAATTATTCTATTGGATTAGACCATTTGCATCTCGCTCAAAAATGACCAAAGTATAACTAGTGCTGTGTCCTACACACACACACACACACCTTCAATCACCGTCTATACCCTCATTCACTATTCTTCAGTACATTAAATATAGTGCAATTGAAGGACTGAATGAAAATTTGAGAACTCAGTAAACAGGAAAGGATACTGTTTGTTTGTGCTTTGCTGGTTAATACATCATTCAAATGGATTTACATTTCAATTTCTTTAGTCAGACCATGTGATTATTTTAGCGAGCTGTCTATTAGTAATGAAAGAAAGTATTTTGATATTTCGGGTGGGAGTATTTTGACATTTTCAGTGCCTATTTGTATTTAATTGTATTTTCACTGCAGTTATTTTATGTCTAATTCTATAAATTCATGTTAAACCCTACTTTGACACATTGTTCACAGCAAAGAAAAAAGTTAAATACATTTTTTTTGTGCTAATTTAAAAGCAGTTAAAACAGACAATTTTGGCCAGGAACATTAAAAGGGGCGAGATGTGAACATGACAGGAGGGTAAAAGGGATAGTTCACCCCAAAATTAAAGTTTAATCACTGTTTACTCTCCCTCAATACAGATTTTTTCCCATTGAACACAAAAGAAGCTAGTATCAAAAATTTCAGATAGCATTAACCATTGGTTTCCATAGAAGGAAACAAATACTATGTAAGTCAATGGGAACCATTTTGAAAATTATTTTTCTGAATATCTTTATTCTGATTATTAAAAGAAAGAAACTCAAATGCATTTTGAACAAGTGAAGTGACAGTAAAAGAATCATTTTTCTTTTTTTGGTCAACTATACTTTAATGAGTTCCTTTCAAAATGCAATTTACCCCAAATTTAATCACTACCATAGACATCAGTGCTTTGTTTACATCTGAACTTTATATTTTTATCTAAGTACTGCTGTAACTATTTGACTTTTTGTAACCCTAAAATAATAACACTCAATGACTCAGACTAATAGTTTCAATCCAAACAACTCTAAAACAGCTTTAAAGCTTAAATGCGTAATCCACCTATTTTTATGCACATTTTGGAGATGCACATAAAAACGGTTGATGTAAAAGCCAAGATGCGCATAAGTTTTGAAAATGTGCATAAGACATATGTGCAAAACTGAGTAGAATAAACTTTTTATCTGATAAGAAAAGAGGTGCATAAACTATGATGGAAACACTTTTACTGAACAAATTCCAGCATGCACATTAAAAAAGGTCATGTGATTTTGTTATAAGAGATCATGTGATGATAAAAATGTGTGTGAATGGACAAACCAGCAGGTTGGTTGGGCCAATGGACTTTTGTTTTGTTTGCCACAAATTTTTTTTATTATTTCTTAGTGACATACTTTAATGTGTCAAAACAAAAAACATAATTCAACAGAATATGTCTTTATTTATGACATGTTTAACATTGGTAAAAGTACTTTTATTGTGGAGGCGATTACATAAATAATCAAAAATATATTTGTTGGCTTTTGGTCCAAATTGATTAAGTATTACTTCTATTGTACCTAATACATTTCTGTTATAAAACTTTAAGTTTCATGCCTTTTTATAAATATTATGTCTAGTCTCCTCGCCCTTACTTCTGTAAATGGTTTTTTTATGAATGGAAGATATCGTAAAGCAATATATTGCCCTGTTATCATCACAAGGAACTGTGTAATTGTTGTTAGTTTTCTTTTCCTGATTTAATTAAGATGGATTGTTGGCAATTGGATGAATGTCAGCCCGATTGGGTAGCTTTACTTGGACAGAGGAAATTTAAGTCCTGTTTAAAAATATTTAAGACCACACAATATTGCAGTGAATTTAAGACTTTAAGGCCTAAAATTTAGTTTTTGAAATTCAAGACATTTTAAGACCCTGAAGACACCCTGCTCCAGAATTGTCAAGAGCGCCTGGGCTCCTAACATCTTCAAACACCACCACACATTCATTGCGTGTCAGCATTTGACTTTTGAGGCACAAGTCATTTATTCAATAAAGAAAAGATTCACACAGCTTCTCCTACCGCAGCAAATTTTGTTTTTACTTTTAATATTTGGGGCCAGTTAATCAGGAATTGACGATTTTGTTCTCTTTGACTCATTGGATGGAAACGCTGCTTTATTTGCACGTCTTTTATGCGATAATCCAGCTTTGCGCATAAATTTAATTAGCATTTTTGAATGAAAAAATAGTTAGTGTCGTGTGGGAATAAGATTGCTTTAAATCCAAATTAACTGTGGAGCTTTACAGAAAATAAAGAAGTGACAAACCATTCCACATGATCATCCAACTTGAAAAGGAGCTTCATGGCCACAATAATGACAGCTACTGCTTGAACATCATAACTCAAGAGATGAGGCTTCTTATCAGTGGGGTCAAACGTCAGAAAGGAATCGCTATCCATACCAGCTCCAGTTATAACCTTCTGGACCCAAACATGAAGAGCATCTAAAATGAACATGCAGAGTCAGGAGTGTATCAAACACACACAAAAAAAGAGGATTATATGGGTTGGATAGATTTGTTTGAAATCCATTTTCATAATTTACCACAACGTCTCCACTACAGTGAAAAAAAAACACTCACCTGGAAGGTTTGCCTCTAGCAGATAGCGGACAGTGAGTGGAACTGGGTGGAAAAGACAATCCTGAGAAATTGTTGGGAAGGACGGCAACTTCATGATCTTTGCCAGAACTAAAGCTTCTTTTTTGATGAACGCATAAGATGGAAAGAACTAAAGAAGAGAAGTTGGTATAGAATGAAACACAATGATTCATGAGTGGTGAAGTGAGAACTGTTTATATGTTCCTCACCAGAACCCGAAAGATTTGGACATCTTTCCCGAACATTCTCATCTCTGCTGGAAATGTTTCGTGAAGGTGCAAGTAAGGAATATGGCCTTCTGCGACCATCCTGCAAGAAACAGATGATTGCAAAATCAGATGTCTTTCTTGTTATTTATTGTTTATTAAACACCGCAAAAAGGCACGGGTAAACGGCTAATTCACGGATTCCCCATTTATGAGTTTTAGCTCTTGGCTTAAGGGAAAATAAGGTAATTTGATTTATTTAATTTGTTTAAGATTAATGTTTGATTTTTGATGTTGGCTTAGTCTTTTAATTTTCGTGATTCATTTGTGTTTGATAGTTTGTTTTTTTGTTTTCTCTATAGTTCTTACAGTGATGCATTCATGATGCAAGGTTGTGTAATGGTTCTATGGAATTGGGCCAATAAATGAATCGTGAACCCAGGGGCGTAGATTTAGGGTGGACGGTTGACGTGTCCCCACCAATATCCACAAACTACCGAAATGTCCCCACCAATAATTTAATTCACTTAAAAACATTGCGCTGTCAGTATAAACCCTGACATGCCGAAAGGGTTAAATCACGTTCTCTCCTCGAGTCGCACCGCCCCCAAACACATATGAACATTGTGATTGGCTGTGCCTTTCCCTGCTGTCATGTGAGTGGCTGCTTTCAGATCATGGTTTCAGATACAAACTGCGCCAAAACAACTGCGCGGGGGGAATTTCCCGATGTGTGAGGTGTGTGCCTCGCACAAGAGAGGATGGAGGTAGCAAGAAGAGGTGGATATAAAGAGCTTTTTCCAACGAAAAGTGTAAGTCACATAAACTCAAGTTCGCTACTGAATGAGTCCATCATGATAATGCCGTTATGGTAGTGTTTTCACCGCTTTTACGTTCAGTCTAACGTTAAAACAGACTAACGTTACTCTGTAAACAATATTCCCTGAAAACTAACTGCAGAATAAACACCTGTAAACGTATATGACCCTGCCAGTTCTCCTAATCTCTTAGAGTAACATCTCCAATTTTGGTTGAAACAATTTGTCAGAAAAACTACAGCCTGTGCTCCATCTTTTAATAATACTACGAGACATGTTTAATTTGTACGAAAAATGAACGAAAGTCTTTATTAAACTATCTCTTTATCAGTTAATAAACATTATTTTAACATGACACTTTCAGGCCTGTAGCCAGCTTATTGAAAGGGGTTATTTGTTTTCTGAAAAACTGAACCTTTTTGCAGTTATTCACCTGATTTTCTGTTTAATTGAGGTATAAATATGACATTTTAGTGACATATTAAGAACTAATTTTTGCTAGATAATCGTGTTGGATAGTTATTACAACTACACTTTTTGATGTACCAAAAACTATTTTCTACCATTTTGTCAAATTGCTTTATTCACACATTCAAACTGTACGTTTTATTACAGTTTTATAAATAATAAAAAAAGACTTTACATTCTTAGAATAAAGTAATGAAGTACATTACAGATGCCAAAACCTCTAAATGCCATGTAAAATGAGCATTTTTCTCAGCCTTGTATATTTATGTTGAGTTATTTTACTTTAAAGGCAATGAAAAGAAAGTATTTGTCACTATAAAAGTAAAATCCACACACAGGAGTTGGAAAAAAATTATAATTTTAGAAGTAAATATTAAATGGCATTTAGAGGTTTTTGCATCTAGACTCTTCAAATATGTAAATATACTTATATTTAAAATACAATTTTTTATCATAATTTTCTTTGGGAAATCTGTTAAAACTTGATTTAAATGAAAAACTGAAGCCTATAGGCAAATAACAAACTGGCCGGCGCATTCAACCTTCCTCAGTGAAAATCTGTGCATTTAAATAATAAGAAAAATTTAAACATAATAATAATAATCCAACTTTTGGTCTTTCAAACTACCTGACCCCCCTTGGCTACACGCATGACCATTTCATTTAACTTAATAAATTGTAAGAAGAGAGGATTACTTAATAATACATTTTAATAGCAGTTAAATAATAAATAGCAATATATATATATATATATATATATATATATATATATATATATATATATATATATATATATATATATATTAAATAGCAAATAATAGCAAGCGCAAACCTACGCCCTTGCGTGAACCATCAGTGAAAGACTTAATCATCTTTTAACCAGGATGCTACATGAAAAAAAAAACTGTGGTTGCAAATAAATAGATAAAACGTCACTGGGTCTGTTATGTTTTAGAAGTCTCAATGTCATTTTGCATTGCTCCAAAGTCAAAAGGTAGCTATTAAGTTCAATACTGAAGTATGCACTGTGCTTCTGTGTTGGTAAGTTTTGGTGCGTCAATCTTATAAACACAATAAGTCAAAGGGTCATGAACCACATTCATTAAGTAATTGTGTTATATTTTTTACTTCACATTCTTCTGGAAATTTATTTTGAATGGTTATATTTCCTGAAGAATGTGAAATAAAAATATAACACAATTACTCAATGAATGAGGATCATGACCTTTTAAGGTCCATATACAGAGCTTAAATTGTGCATTAACACGGCACCTCTGAAATCTGATCGGGCACCTCATTTTACCGACAACCCTCTACACTTTCGTCCACAACATACTCCACTCTTCACTTTCATCCTTCGTCTGCAACCCGACCACCATTTATTATAATGCCTGTAGGTACTGCCATTCTCTGTTCAGGATTTGTTTACGTACGGGAATTTGTAAAGTATCACAAGTGTGAAGTATCACAAGCAATGAATTAAAATTCCACTGATTTCCTGACATAAACTTTGCATTTCAGGATAATCGTAGCGCTGCTCTTTGATAAGGAGGAGAACTCTCCTTCCTCTCTATGTAGGTTAGTATTGGATGAACACAATATGTAGCCTATTCCTCTTTCTTTTTCTACTTTGGAGAAAAGAGAGAACAATTTATCACTGCTTGAACTGACTGCAAAACGTTTTGCATTTTTTGTGATGAATAAATGAATTAATATGCATCAGACTCAGTGTGCAAGGTTTGTGTAAGTGACAAATTTTTTGCATCTGAATACAAAAAATGCATACGGACATTTCGGACTGAATTGTAAGCAATCACGATAAACAGAACACAGCTTTCACTCTGAAACATGCAACACTACTTTTTGTATTAAATCTCATATTGTGTATATTAATATTAATACTTAATTCCCAATGGGTAAAATCCTGTGTCCTTTATCACACTTCATTGAGAATTTACACATGGACATCACCTATATGCTATATAACTGCAGGTTAACTATGTTTATATATACTAATTTTAACTGTTAAAAACGAATTGTTTCTATTTATTTAAAGTTATTAGTAACTAATACAGTTGTGGCGAATTTGATTGTTATGCATTAATGTGCACCTTTTGTAAAGCTGATTTGATCCGTTATACAAATAAACTTGAATTGAATCAAAAATGTGACATTATAAAACAATTAAGTTACAAATTAAAATGCTTGTGCATCCTCCAAACCTTAGCAGGTCAGTCAGAGTGATGGCCTCTCGAACCCACAGCAGAGCCAAATAGCACATGGCCAGTGTGCGTGGCATGGACATAAGATTGGAAACTCTTCCTCTCCTCCCTTTTTGGGGTATAGAATGTAGGGACTCCGAACTTACAGCGGATCTTCCATCAACAGATATACCTGTAGCAAAAAAAGAAAATAAAGATCAACCAACACTTCAAATAAGGTGAAAATGTGCTATCTGCCAGAAAGTGATTTACATTCATACCTGAGACAGACATCTCTGTGTCTGAAGAAGCCTCACTGTAGCATGACTGGTGGCTCTGGGTGTCAGACTCTGAGCCACTCTGGGACTTCATAAACTACAAGAAAGCAGATTTATTATTCATTCATTCATTTTCTTTTCAGCTTAGTAGCTTTATAAATCAGGGGTTGCCAACAGCTGAATGAACCGCCAACTTATCCAGCATATGTTTTACGCAGCGAAAGCCTTTCCAGCCAAAACCCAAGACTGGGAAATACCCTTAAACACTCTTGCATTTACACACACACACTACAGACAATTTAGTTTATTCAATTGACCTAAAGCACATGTTCCTGGACAGTGGGGGAAACCGGAGCACCTGGAGGAAACCCACACAAACACAGGGAAAACATTTAAACTCCGTGGTGCCTGGCAGATTTAATTTTTTTTTTATCTGAAATTAATATCAAATTGTTGTAGAAATAAATTAGAAAAATAAAAGGTGCAATGTGCCCAATTAAATTTTAGGGCCCCAGTATAAAAGGCCTGGAAAACTATATAAAGATAAAAGTGCATGAAAAATGGAGTTACTGTCTGAAAACAAAGAACCAATTTCCTTACACAAGATGTCACTGATTTTAGACTAATTTCTTGCAAAAACCTATGTGGATTTATTAAAAAAAAAAGTTCCCACAAAAATTAAATTCTGAAACTAAAAGCATCAGTGACTGAAAAACTAACTGAAATAATAGCAAAATTATTGTATTTAAAATGAAAAAACACTTACCCTGTAACAGAAAATCTGACCTTCAGCTGATTATAGAAGTAACTGTAGATGCTATTATACCAGCTTATCTTATCTTATCTTATACCAGAAAATCTTAATACAAACCAACCAATAATCATCAGTTAAGCTCATGATTATTGACAAAAATATATTTTCTATATAAACATAAAAAATGTTCAAGTTTAACAGTTTTACAACTTTAAAAATCCCAACAGGGCCAATTAAATTAGGGTAGTAGAGTAGCATTTCATGATACAACAAACACATAAAGAAACAAATCACTTTCAAACAATATTAAAAAACACAATCCAGCATGCTGCTTAATGTCTTCATAAATAGTGCTGAAAAACATAGGAAGGACTTACATATTAAAAATGTAAAACTTGCTAATATAAAAGGTTGTAAAGCCTGATTGACTCAAGAATAAATGTGAATTAGGTGAATTTATATCTGTTAACAGAGCATTTGATGCTTTTAAACCTTCTTCCAGAGGGCAACAGAAAAAAAAAAGGCTTCAGAAGATGAGAATCATCTCCCACACTTTCTTTGCTGTTCATGTAACTCTGCTAGACTCCGCAGAGGGAAACCAATAATCTTGGAGCAAGTAAAAAGCCTTTTAACTTTGCTTAATTTGCCAAAAAAAATGTAAACAAGGCATATTTAACTATATGAAGTTCTTTTTTCTTCATAATTTTAGCTTTTGTTGTTTGAGACGCATTTGTGTGCTTTTGTCTTCAGTGCCTGTTCAAAGTTCAAACTATGATTTAATTTATTTTCTATAACTAATAGGAGTGAACAAGAGTTAATGTAAGCTCTGCAAACACTAAACTTTACTCTGAACACTGGACCTGGTCTGTGAACTCTGTTAAACTAAATTACTAAAACTGAAACTAAAAGCAATAAAACTAAAGAGAAATGTGTTCATAAAACGACACTAAAATTGAGAAAAATAGTAAAGGAAATGAACTATAATTAAACTGAAGTTAAGAGAAAATGTAAAAATAAAATAGCATTAACATGAAAACTAATTTTAAAAAGCAAAACAATGACTAAACAATGGCTTTTGATTATTATTTGCTTTTTTTAATAAAGATTTGTCAACATCTTCTTCACAGGTCTTCAAAACAATTTCAATTTTAAAATTCAACACAAAACGTACCACTTCAAACCTCGCAGTGGACACTGGATTTTCAGTAAAAGCTTGCCTTGTGTTCTGCAGGTACCTCTTCCAGAAATTCCACAGAACTTCTGTCTGTCAAAACAAAACATGACATTGCATTGCATTAGGAGTAGGGTTGGCTAAGATTTGAACTTGATCAATTCCTATTCCAATTATGCATATCGACTTTGATTTTACAATAATAATGACATTTAACTTTGCCGACATTCTTTACCAAATGTAGCTACTCTTTTGATTCAGTTATCTAAGAAGTAGCCAGTGACCCGCACTCATTAAATTAAATGTTTGACTTTATAACAAGTATCCGATTTCTAATCCAAGTATCCAATACTAGAATCTAAATGAATCTCCAATTCCCAACCTTAATTAGGAGATTCTTTTTTTTGTCATCCATAAAGTGATTCAGTAAACTAAGAAGTAGCCAGTGATCCGCACTCATTAAATTTTGTGTTTTGACGTTCTTTATTTTACATTCTATTGGAAAACAAAGTCACAAACATTTCAGCTCAGTGATGTGTGTAATCAAATTAATCCCTCCACCCTCTTTTTAAATCTTCAAATCACATTTTTATCATTAATTATTCAGCTATATCATTCATTAAAAACATAGTCTGTAAGAGGCTTACTTCCTGTTTATTAGTGTCGATTGCAAGTGACATGACAGGAGAGTGCAGGTGTCAATTGTAAATAACGTTACTTGCAGAGGAAGTGTGGTTGCCTAAGAGTGCAAGGCAGAAAATACAAGACTAAAAAGTGGAGGTCTGCAGCCAGACCCTTCCCAATGAAACTGCAAACTATCTTCAGTAATCTTTATTTATTTGAATCTTTGACTCTGGCTCACAAACGGGTCCTTTTTGGGTTTAACCTGTAAAATGATCCTACAAGTCGCACTGTTTATACATTATATTTTACACTTGCACCCACAAAAAAAACACCTCTACAATAAAGTAAAACAAATTATACAGAAAATTACATAATTACATAAGAGATCAATGTACCAAATATAAAATCTAACAACATAAGAATACTGTGCAAACTACTTAACTTGATTCAGTAAACAAAGAGCACTAACCTCAAACTTCATACAAACACCTAGACTGACCAAAGCCTTGGCCTGGTGTTTGAGGATGAACTGAAATCCCTCACAGACCAACCACTCCCTTTCAGAATCTGAAAACAGACATAAGAGGCGTCAGGTTCAATTTTTCATTTTAGCACAATATCCTGTTAGAAATGATCAACAAGAATAAAAACAGTAAGTAAAGCTGGACTGACCATGTTTTTTCTTCTTGGGTTTCCTGACTATTGAGATCCTGCCATGCTTATGATGAAGGCTGGTAACATCCTCTACCTCCCTTATTTTCTAGAAGATGTTAAAACAAGCAACATGCTTTAGGTGTGTAAAGCTTATAACATCATGCCATTAAGATGAGACACTGTAGACAAAACAGTCATCATAAAGTGTTTCTTTTATAGCACTATAAATTTGTGCCTGCAGATTTCTATTATATTACACGTTTTCAGATGCTGTTTTTTTTTAAAAATTGGTTTTGTTCTCCTGAAATGAGCCATAAAGCTTCTTCAGCAAGTCTTACACCAAACGTTTTTGTTTTGTTTGTCAGTTTAAAGGTGCAGGAGGTAATCTGCCAAAATGCTATCCGTTAGCATATCTTAGAAAACCCCAGCCATCCCAAGCCAGGACTCCTGAAATCATGAACGCGCAGCTTAAAGTTGACAGCAGACAATCACTAGATTGTGTCATTTGCCAGTTAGAAAACTTTATAGTACTTATAAAACTACAATTCCGAACGACATACTGTATTATATATCTAGCACATTTTCAGTTCTGTAGCAAGCAAAACTTGTCATGATGTACAATATTTAATGCATGCAAGGATCGCTGGTCTCACTCTTTCACACGATTTGTCCTACAGCGACTACTGTATGCTTAGTGGTTGGCCGGTGGCATGCAGGAATTACACTTATTACTAAGCCATATTTACATGCTATTTCAGGCTGAATATTCAGCGTAGCATGGTAAACAATATAGGAGCACTTCACAGATTGTGAGTAGCCCCTTTCACACAGTGATACCGGTAAATATCCGGAAAATTTCCGGAACGACTTTACCGGTATATTCAAAAAAGCGCTGTTCACACAGGTGAGGACGTTACGGAAATTTTCCGGAAAAGAGCATTCACACATCCATTCCAAAATACCGGTAAATTCTGACATCATTCACCACAAATGAGCTTTAAACGGCTGCGCTTGTATTTATAAACATTTGACTAAATTACAAACTCTGTGAATGATCAATATTGTGAACAACTTTCGCAGGATCACTTTCGCATGTCGAGATGTTCAAAATATCTGCGTGTGCAGGCGCTCACAGGCTGTTTCACAGGCACACGCAAAGCTTGAAGGTAAACAAACAACGGCTTATCATAAGCATCTCATCGATGATTATTTACACAGTTGGCATTAAGAAGAACATATAAACGTGATCTGACTAACTTCTAGCAGCTAAATGTGTCTGGAAAAATATTCAAAGGCTTTTATTCTCACAAACCCCGCGGACGTAAATGCGTCTGACTGTTGTGATTGGCTAAAGCAGACGTCTCACGTCAGCACGTTCTAGACGTGCACGCGCTTATTACGGGAATCTTCCTTCTGCATTCACACAGCGCAGCATTCCGGCAAATTGCCGGTAATGTTACAACTTCTCTTTCCGGAAAATAGCCAGAACGAATTTACCGGTATTTTCAAAAAGGACCTGCCGGAAAATTGCCGCCAATTTTCCGGAAAGGTCTGTATGTGTGAAAGGGGCTAGTGTTAAACAATGAACCAATGTGATTATAAAACTAACTTCAGCTCAGTAGAGCAGGCTGGGCAGAAAAGCGCTATTTACTGATGTTTTTTTTTTTTTGTTAAACTAAATAAAAATCTACATTATCGATGCTGTAAAAGGTCCCTTATGCAATTGAAATTAGTCACATCAATCGTTTGCCTGAAGATTCGGCTGAACAACACTTCTGTGCATGTAACCCATTCATAAAACCTGCATAAGCTTTACGTGACTAAAATACTATTTTAGTTTTCATAAAATGAAAAGTTTTCATTTATGTCTGCTTTCAATAAAAATAAATCAATCAACCGGGGGAGTATGATAATAATTAGTAATATTTATTTACCCAACTCCTGCTTTAATTAGCTTTTTGTTTAATGATTTTTTTTAAATTAATTAACCAATCATTAAATTAAATGTTAATATAACTATTAAAGTCAGCAGCATAATGAAAATCAGCAGAAAAGTGAGTAAATTATAATACATACGACAACTTCATACCTGTCCATGCATTTAAACAAGCTCATAGGAATTGGAAGAACTATACATATGTAAAAAAAAAGTGATTTCTGTCTATGTATTAATGTACTATATATTAAAATATCTATTAACCCACCTCGATGACATTGTGGCAGCTCTTACAGAAGAACTGACCCTCGTCTGACACTCCCCAGTCCACAGCAGCGCACTGTCCGCATGGCTCACTATATCCACCCTGGAGAAACAGCACCGCAGCTCACAGAGTATAACGAATTTCCACATAACACTGCAGACTGACAAAATACACACTAGAGATACTTACAGTAATTTGTTCGTCCATGGTGTAAACGTAAGCTGAACTTCAAAACATGAGACAATTTTTGTTTTCTGTTTTCAGCGTGAGCATACTCGCTTTCAACATGGCCGACTATACGTTTTTCATAATAAAAGTCACTCGTTTGTTCAGCGTAAAATTTTACAGTAGGCCCTGGCCCACTGATCTAGAACCCTTTGGTAGGGCTATTTCATTTTACTATATTGTGTAATATGTATATGTGCATGTTAATTACAATTTTGATGTTTATTTTTTTCTTCGTTTACAGTATAACTCAACTCATTTACACGTATAATTTTAAACATCTATTTTATTAATGAAATGTAATTATATTGTATAAATATATGTGAATCAAAATAATAATAATAATAATAATAATTCATACTTCAAGTTTAGATAACAAGGCATAGCCCCCAATTTGCACATTGCCACATTGTAGGAATTATATTATCCCATATAATTATTTTATGTATTTGCTCTATATTATGTTGTTAATCATTTATATTGTCTGGAATGTAACTAAATTATTTTTAGGCTTGACAGATAAGTAATAATAATAATAATAATAATAATAATAAAGTATTGACTCTATCATGAATTCTCTATTAACTTATCTTGGATACATAAATTGCGATTCATAATTATTTTTATATAGAAATTATACATTTATTTTACTTGTTTTATTGTAAATGCATGTCTCTCCTGCAAAACAAAGATGTGTCACAGTCAATGGACAGTAGATGGCGCAAAAATCCATAGCTAGATAAAACTGACAGTAAATGGTGGTAGGCTACTCATTACCTGGATTACAATCAGCCTGCTTGAGTCAGAATTTCTATTGTTATTCTTTAATAAATTATAACAAATAGTAGGCAAATACAAAATAGTGTTCATATTCTCGTTTGGTCATCATGACCTTTCTATTGTTTGTTGTTAAAAACCCTAGCAAATTTAAGATGCCTCATATTTAACATTTAAACTATAAATATATAAAGTTCCAGTTAATGCAATTGTGGCTTAAATGTGCAATGTAACAAAAATAAAATAAATTGTGCCCATCAACAATGCTTCCTTTCCTCCTCCCCACCTCTTTGAAGAAAAGCTGCTTCTTTCACCACTGGGCCAATTTCATGGTTTACTGCCTCCCATGCGTTTCCTCGTGTTCTCTATGCAAAACACAGCATTGTTGGCAATGGAAATCAGGAACAGTCAGTAACTGCAGGTGTGGGTTTTATTCTTCACACTGAAACAGCGGATTGCTCTCCCTACAGTGTGGCACGTTTTACATCCCCACTTGTCCTCCACAGACGCCGCATAGCGTGGATAGAGATTGTGGGAGGCTGTGGGTGAAAAGGGAAAATTATACAGAGTCTAGCTCACTTGCTTATCTGGTATATAAATATTACATGCACTCTCTGCCTTTCCCATCACGACTCTGCTGCTTCCTGCTGTTCACGGCACCTGAAGTTGGCTAAAAGGAAACAGGCACTTTCCTTGAGCTGCTCAAGACTGAGAAGAGAGACCTTATCTGTGATTAAACCATAAAATTAAATAATATATAAAAACGCTCAACACACGTTGATGACCGTGGAGTCAATCAATCGATTGAGAGAAGTGAACAAGTTTAGAAAAGTTTGATAAATTCTCAGACATTTCTTTGTTATTTAAACCTAATTAGGCTTTACTTAAGGAATCATTGATGATAATAAAATGGGGAATCATCCTGTGGATTAGTTTAGGACTAGCTTCTTTGACATCTCTTTAAAAGCCTTTTGATTTTTTGTTTTTGACTGTTGTATCGTTGAAGTAACTGAACTGAACTGTAATGTGGTCAAATCCTGCCTGGATCTAATTTATCCATGCAATTCCCTTATTACAGGGGTGCCCAAATTCAGTCCTGGACGGCCAGTGTCCTACAAAGTTTAGACACATCTGGGCTGGCTCACCAAGCTCTTACTAGGCTTTCTAGAAACATCCTTGCAGGTGTGTTGAGGTAAGTTGAAGCTAAAATCTCCAGGACATCGGCCCTCCAGGACAGAGTTTGCCTTAAAATAACTCCACACCTTAGAACATGGGTCTCAAACTCAATTCTTGGAGGGCCGCACAGTTTTAAGCTGCGGTCACACTAGAGTTCAAGCATGTGAAATTCTGTAGTATGATGCTGCGAAAAGTGGCGGGACTAAACAAGATTACTAGACATTTAAAAAAGTGAGTCATTGGTCCATATTTAAAATGTCTGTCCAGAGAGGTCATGTTTTGATCCTTGATTGGTCTCATGCAGTCAAGTGATGTGATTTCGCAGGTCAGAGTTCACCAAGCTTGAACTTTCTAACGCAGCGAACTGCGAAACTTGTCGCACAAGCTTGTGTTTCTGGTCTGATGCATTTGCGTGCGTATGAATGGAAGTCTAAGGGGAGAAAAGTGCAGTGTGACCGCAGCTTCGCTCCAACCCTAATCAAACACAGCTGATTCAAATAATCGAGGTGTTCGAAATCCATGCTTTAGAATGTTCTTCAGCCAATCAAAATCCATCATTTAACAGCCCCCATAGTATAGACGAATTACCAAACTACGTCACACATGACGTCACACAGTTTCCCGGTTGCAAAAAGAGACAATAGCAAACATGTACTGTTGTGGGGTAGGATGCCAAATTCGAGTCCAAATATAGAAAACTTAACTTTTACCGTACACCACACTGCTTTTAATGCCAACCGCAGAGATCTTTGGCTAAAAGGAAGCTGAATGAAGTGACAATGCAATTAGAAATGCTTGACTCTGCAGTTCTCATTTTATATCAGGTAAGTTCATGCTGAATTATACACATTACTCATTTCTGATAGCAGCAATGATTTTAGCAAAAACAGTTAAATATGGTTAATTAAATTGCAGACTCTGAATGCTGAGAATGAAACGTGAAAGTGTAAGTTCACATACCCTGCCATACAGGTGCCGTCTACTTTCAGAATGCAGTCTTTTTGCTTGTTAATGATTAATTACCCAAGCCGTACAGTTCCGTCTATTTTCCTTGTGTTTGGCTAAGCAGAACCTTGGTTTTTAGTACTACAAAGTTTTGAATCTGGTAGTCATGGAACATTATTTCTTGCAAATGACCACATAGAACAACATTGTTGGCATCCAAAGACTTGTACGCCTTTAACTTCTCTCTTGTAAAATCACTTGGTGTTTCAATGAGATAGTTGTTTGTTTGGGGCTGGATGCCTGGCCATTTCGTCTTATCCAATATCCACCTGTCAAATCTGGACTTGTCAGATGAATGCCGCTCACTTTTTATTGTTAATTTTGCAGAATCTGGGTGATGAGCTGTTATAATACGCTGAAAGCCTTATGTAAATAATATATATAATATGTAATCAATATAACTTAATTGTAAGACAACAACAAACTCTGTACCGCATCGGATGTCATTCCCTCGCAGTAATGCTAGTAAACACTCCCTGTTTTTTTCTGTCACCTTGCTGCGCACGCAACTTGAATATTTACAAACATGGTGATTCGTCTATAAGAAACACTATTTGCTATCAATCAATGAGTTATATGTGATCTAACAGTCATGTATGCACCCACAGAATCAGTCAGATATGGAGGCTCCGCTCAGTCAATTCAAGTCAGGTACAATGTTTCAGACCAGGTTGCCCAATTCACCTCTATGTTTCTGAATTATTCAGTTCGATCTTGAAACAATAATTGCTACAAGCTACTAAGACTTCACTTAAATGCTCTCAATTTAGTTTGGACAAGCATTTAAAGCCCAATTCTTGATTGATTGACTCTTGGATTCATTTACTGATTAATTAATTCCCTGAATTAATTAATTTTATTTACATTGACACCTCTCTGATCAGTTTAAACTCATACTGTTAACTGTACTGAACTGATTCAGTCAAGTGAGTCATTTATGACTGAAATGTTTTGATCAATTCAGTCTCAAAGTGGTTCCATAAATTCACTGTCAAAATAATGCAGTAATGGTAGTGATGGTGAAGAAATGACAGGTCAATGAGCATAATATTCTTACTCTAAAGACTCAAGTCACTATAACAAATCTGTACATACAATTCAACATTCTGATTTTTTGACAAACTGCATCTCTGTTTAATGTTTATCGTCTTTTTAAATATTTATTTTGTGTTGTCACTTTATGTACACTGGAAGCTTCTGTAGCCAAAACAAAGTCATTGAGTGTGTGAAGCACACTTTGCAATAAAACCGATTCTGATTCTAATTCTGATGATCACTATGTTGACAAATGCCTTTGACAAATACATTGCTGTTCAATATGTTTTGTATTATGCACACCTAAAAAATAAATCATCAGTAACCCAATCCATATTTGATTTTATTGTTTTTTTTTCCAGCATCAGCTAAAGCATTTGAAATGGAGAGATGGTGGCAGTGGCGTCTTCACTCTCACACATGGAAAATCTTATTGTTGCCCACCTCAGGTCTGCGTCTTGTCGGTTACTATGACAACCACACCACGTAGTGCCAGCCCGAGAGGATGAAGGGGGAAGCTCATGCATAAAAGAAGAGAGTGTGTGTGTGTGTGGAGTCTCAAAGAGCTTGTCATAACATCTAGTATTATCTATCCACAAAGAGTCAGATGTTTGTGATCTCTGGATCATAATCAGATGTTTCGAATTAACCTGGTTTATGAAGTATCTTGGGTTAAAATGCAAAGGCCTAAATTCTGATGTTGTGTTGTTGACCATAACGGTCTAATTTTATGTTAATGTATTAGGTCTCAAATATTTTATAAGTCAATTTGAATTTTCCTAGCTTTAAGTTTGTGTTGAATCACAACATACACGTTGTAACAAGGAGTCTGACACAGAGGGATCCATTTGCAGTATATTTATTTAACACAGTTTAATAACAAGCACACAGTATGCACTAGTGTGCGAACTCACATCAAATGCAGTAATATAAGGTCGATAGGCTGGCAATCAAGGATCGTGATAGCAGGCATGGGTCAGAGGCAGGAAGCGTGGGTCAAAGTTGATGTACAATGC